TTTTTTGTAAAATTATGTGGGGGAAGTTTGCAGGAGGATGAAACAAGAGGATTGTCTCAAGTTCAAGTCCAACCTGAGCTACATAGTGAGATCCAGTCCAAAGGGATGCAGAATGAATCAAATAGGGAATCTCTACAGGGTGATTACGAGAGTCTGAACTATATGCGTAAGGATGCTTCCACAGCCGAGTAGAAGATACACACATACCCCAGAAAGAGAACAATCCTTGCTTCCAGAAGGCATGTGCTACTTGGAACATTTAGATGAAGATGTATGAAGTATAATTAGTCAAATAATTATTGAAGTTATAGGATGAGGAAAATGAAGTATTTGAAAAATTAGAAGTCAAAACAAATTATTCCAATGCCCACAATGTCTAGATTGCGGCTTCATGTGGTGTGGGTTTACCTATAAAGGTTTTCTCCCTGGTTGGTGGTGATTGTATGCCTTTAATTCCAACATTTGGGAGGCAGAGGCAGGTGGGTCTCTGATTTTGATGCTAATCTGGTCTTCATAGTGAGTTTCAGGACAGCCAGAGGTATACAGAGAAACCCTGACTCAAAAAAAAAAAAAAGTTTACACAGGTCAGAAGCTACAGCAAGGAAATGCAATGGTTTGATGGCACAGGTACCTACTTTATATAAGATCTGAGAGGAAGCCTGGAATTGCATTGCTCTCAATTAGAGAAGCTCTAAATGCTAAGATCATGACTGTGTTTCTGCGACTTCACTTTTGCCAAGAACATCAAATCCCGCACATTATAGAGGTTTTGTAACCCAAGATAACAGAATTAGGAGCATGTTGGAAAATAGTACTTGGGGTCACTCAAGTCTTGAAATCCAGAATTATTTTATTTCTAAAGCTTTAGAAAAACAGTACATATACTGTGGCGTGCAGGATACAATATTCTTGTGGGATCAGAGGGAGCACTGTGTCAACCAGCGTAACCTATTTGTGTAGTGAAACAAGTTAGTAGGCACAGCAGGGAGACCAAATGGAAGTAGCACATCCACTTGTTTCAGGACAGATTTTGCTGTCAACTAAAAGAAATAATCTCAGTTTGCAACTCTTAGTTTATGTCTTACTTTCCAGAATCAAATTCAGGCATTTACAACAAAAGAGCATATTTCTCAGAGGACCTTTTATAGTTGTCTGCTTAGCAGAAGTACACTATCACAACGTAAAGTTGTTTTATTTATGAATCTAGGTATTTGATGCCTGCTTGGATTTGTATAAAATTAGCTTTGCCTATGAAAAGATGCAGAGCCAGGGCCTTTAGATCCCACCCTTCCAACTGCTACTACGTGTACGATAAAGCTGAAAGGTCCCACGGTGTCTCTCAAGCGGTAATGTCCATTCTGCTATCCTCTCGGGGCTGCAGGGTATGAGGTAAAAACGACACAACAGAAACAACACAAAGTCAGTCCTACCCCACTCGTTTTTATTACCTTGAAATTTTAGTCGACTTACAAATCGATGCCAACATGTAAGCACAAAAAATTTATAATCATGTAATTTACATAAAGTTGAGTTTTGTACAATTTCAATGGAAGCTTCAGCTGTCTCTGTGCTCATCAGATGTGTATTTAAAATCTAAATATGCCAAAGCCTGTGGCAATGCTTAGAGCAGTAAGATGGACTCAGGGTCCAGTTGGGGATGTTGGTACGTAAGCAGTATATGCTCTACTAAATTCTATAGACTTCTGCTCACTCAAGTCTTACTGAAACATCACTTCTGCAAGAGGCTAGCCTTTCCATGTCCCGTATGTCTGATTACACTTCCTCCTCTGAGTCTCACATTATCTCATTTTGTTGTTCACATTTTTCTTATGGCATTTTCTCTACTGCCATGAGGCTCAGAGTTCCATCAGAGTATTGTCGTTTCCCGAGGGCAGACACGGAAGTCACAGGAACATTTTGGAAGCATCCTGCTGCTTGTGGGATGGAGGGAGACCGTGAAGGGGAGGCAAGATGGAGAGCGGAGACTAGTCAGGTGTTCCGGATAAGAAATTATAGATAGTTCTGAGTTAGTGGCAATGCTGATAAATTCAAGAATTTGATGAGACAGAAAGAATTTCAGAAGCCTGTGATGAATTGGAGGCCAGGACAAGAGCTCGAGACTCCTTTGCTCTCAGCCTTCTGATTTGGGCACAGGAAAGGACCATAGAGGGTTAGATATGGATTCAGACTCAAAGCAGGATGGCCATTGAATGTACGTCTGGATTCACATTGTTGGAAGCCAGAGCGAACACATCACGGGAGATTGGATGAATGTGTCTCTGAGAAGAGACAAAGAGCATCTTCAAAGTACAGGAGAGCCCTTGGCATATTTCCAAAAGGGAAGGGATAACAACTGGTTCTTATATCAGGGAAGTCTAGAGAATAGTGTCAAAGAGTGTGCAAGTACAGATGCAGGAACTAATAGTGTTTTTGAAGAAACGTGTTAAAAATGCAAATATCGGTATAAGGAAGCATACAGAGACAGACAAATATTCAAATCATCTTTAGGCGTGAATTGCCCTTCTAGGCTTATGACTGAGCAGACTCACTGACAAAGGGAAGATAAGGAAGATAAGTTAGACGGGGTGAGAAAAGAAGGTAGGAGTTGTTTGTGCTTTTTGGGGACATCGTTATGACTTGGGATTCGGGAGTCATGTAGCACAGAGGGATGTGTTTTAGAGTTGTCGCTATTTAAAGTCGTTATCAAAGTCATGGGAGAGATGAGATTAGCTCCAAAGGGTGACAACATTGAAAGAAATATAAGGTTCATAGGGTGACAAATAAAAGATTGGAATTCACGGGTAACTGAAAAGAAGATCAAGAGGTGATAAGAAAGGTTGGACAACCTAGAGAGGAGCAGAATGAACGACAACATAAGGAGAAGGGCTACAGGAAGACTCCATCCTCAGCTAAGGAGCTGGCAATCACAGTAGCCTGGTTCTTCTCATGGAGAGAACATGCCAAGGAAGAATAGTCAGTTGCAGTGGATGCTTGGGGGATTTCAGGAAGCTTAGGGGAAGTTGTTAGGTGATAGGGAGTGCCAGGCACCATCTGAGACCTAGTGATAACAGCAACCCTATGGTCTTAAAGACAGTTCTTCTAGTCTATAGCTGGAAGCTGTCATAAAGCTGAAGATATATAAAACTGAACCTGTTCTGAGCTGAGATTCCTCCATAGTCAACATAGAAGGTCAAGAGGAAAACTGCATTGCAGTTTTGCAGAGAGAGAAGTACAACTTAATGTGAGTGGCTTGAACTGTGCATAAACCAGGAGACATCAACAAGTAGCAAACAACCCCAGCATCTTGATAACTCAATACAATTAAAGCCTGATTCAGTGTGCTGTGACAGCTCCACGAAGTCGGGAAGATGGCTGTCCCACTCTCAAGGTGAAGACTTTGTCACTGTGACAAGATGCTCGAGAGAAACAACTTACGGAAGCAAGTAGGACTTGGACTCATAGTTTCAGTCCATGCTGTACTGGATTCTTTGTTTTTCACCATCCTGATCCAGAGCATCGTGGTGGAGAGAGGGCAGAGTAAGGCTGAGTTGCTCACCTTGAGGCGGCCAGGAAGCTGAGATTGAGGAACGGACGGACAGATAGAGGATACACCTTTCCAAGAGCATCAGTTGTACATATCCAGTTACCTTTACTTGCTATAGTTAAAAAATTATTAATTCCTTGTTACACATTAATCTATCAGCTCGTCAGAACTTTCAGGTCTAGTGGTTTCCTGAAAACTGATCAGCTGGCAATCAGGCCTTGATCCTAGAAGTCCCGAGGGACATTTCATATTGAAACTATACCATGGCCAGATTTGAGAGACTTCTCATTTTTTTCCATCAAATGGAAAAGGGATAGAAGTCTGAGTGAAGGAGGTTTTAATGACATGTGGCTTCATATTCTACTAACCAGGGCACGGCACAATCATTTGGATTCACCAAATGACAAGGAAAACAGGAAGGTATATCTGAGGTTGTGCTGAGGGGAAAAAAAAAAAGATGATGTTGACAAAAAATTGAAAGGAAATTGACCAGCTGGGATACTGGAGGTGTCTCTGAAGTCAGAGAAAATGTGTCCTAGGGTTAAGGGGAAGCAGAAAT